AGGGTGATTCTGGGGTCGCTCCATGGCCTTCGAGCGCAGCAAGAACTTCCAAAGCTTCATCGATCTTGCCTTTGCGGATCAGCAACCGAGGGGAGTCTGGTAGGAATGGGCACATGGCGTAGATGCATAGGGTGAAGAAGAGCTGAAACGCGAGCGGGAAACGCCATGCGATATCGCGCGGTGCGAACGAAAAGCCGAGAGTAAGCCAATTCGAGATGCTGAAGCCGGTGATGCAGTTCGCTGTTGACGAATTAGCCAAAATGTCACACTGTATGTTGCAAATGCCGTACCCATCTGGATGATAACGAGCTTTCCTCGACTGTTCATCTTACTGGTCTCAGCCTGCCAAACTCCAGCCGTTGCCGTGTTCATGCCAGTACCAAGCCCCGCCACGATGCGCCCAACCATCATGCTCGCTACAGTCCAACTACATGTCTGAATGATTGCACCGATGCCAATGATTGTCGAACCGAGGAGAATCTGCCTTGGGCGTCCGAGAATGTCGCCAGTCCATATGGTACTCATTGCTCCGATGAAGCAGCCGATGTTGTAGATGGACGTCATCACACCTTGCATGTTGGCAGACGGGTAGCCAAAGGTGTGGAGGAAGTTCTCTGAGATGATGACATTGCCGAAGACACCTTGATCGTAACCGTAGAAGCTAATGAGTGTCAGACAACCGTGTTGGAAGATGTCTTGATCGTAGCTTACACGAGTACCGTACTGGCAGCGATGGAAATCCATACTGTCAGCCGCTCACCAGAGCCTCCAAGATATTTGCGTGCCATGGTCGCGTACTCCCTGCCCAGCTACGGATGTCACGAAGTTTGTGATCGTGGATGCGGAGTAGGAGATGTCGTGGAAGGAGGTACCCCAAATCGAGAGATGTCAATAGCCGGTCCAATGCACTGGGCCTGTACCAAACTTTGTCATCTGCAACGGGGTCGCAGCGTCGATCAGCTCTTTATACCGGGCATGAGCCCTGGCTCGGGATTTTCTCCGCTTATCATTATCCTCGTTATGCGAAGCTTGTCAAGCCTTACAAGCCTCTGGTCGTCTCCAGATCCACTGAGCTTCCCCAGACTCTGATCACCTACCCCATACCCCATAGGCCGAAGGCCCACTCAGTCCACGCTTGAGCTCTGTGATTGGCGATGGCGGCGTTTTAGCCGAGCAAGGAGACAATGAGTGATCAAAGCGCAAGGGTGGTAAGGCGAATGCAGCGATGTTGAGGTTGCAAGTAGGGACATGATGCATCGCGGAATACTTATTCAGGGAAGGCGGAAAGATGCGTCGGCTGATGAGCACGGAAGGTGAAGCGAGCGCGGGGTAGCGAGGAAGGTGCGCCGAGTGTGGGGAAAATCGATGCCTGATGCTGAGGTTCAACGCCACAACACGAAAGCTGCAAAAACCTTAACATTCTTGTACGAGCCTCTGAAACAAAGCTGGCAATACAGCCGGTATATCATGCCCAGGCTCTTCCCGGGCATTCAACCACGCGAGTGCCGAATGAGGGAGGTAGCCTCGGGAACTCCCCGCAGTACTCCTCTCCTCCAATATATTCCACGGAAGAAATAGACTAAACTTGAAGTCGCGCATCATAGTCCCCTGATCTGCGCATCATATCCAAACATGTCGAGCGCAAGGTCTTCCACTTCGAGGAGTACTTCCGGCATACGAGAGGTATACGCACGAACTCATTCCTTCCACCGGTAAAAGGTCGCTCGCGGCTTCTTCGTGTTGATGATGAACTCAAAATGCGAAAGTATAAAGAGACGGGATGTTCGTATAGACGGGTAGGAAGCACATCGACCAGGACATACACACCATGATCTTAACCAACTCTGTTCTTCTGACCCTCGCTGGAGCGACCCATGTCGCGTCGCAGTCGTTCCAGCAGACGCCTGTTATGGGTTGGAACTCCTACAACCAGATGTCATGTAGCCCAAACACCCAGAAGATCACCACCACCATTAACTCGCTTGCGAGTCGCGGTTTCGTCGATGCTGGCTACAAGTTCTTCCAGATCGATTGCGGATGGGCTTCAAGAGATGGACAACGGAACGCTACTAGCGGTGCACTGAAGGTGGATCTGAAAGCCTTTCCGGGTGGGTTGAAGCCTTTGAGCGACCTTGCAAGATCAAAGGGCATGAAATGGACAATGTACTCGGATGCCGGTGTGAGAATGTGCGACCCAGAGGCGCCGAGCCCTGTCTTGGGCTCATTAGGTCATGAAGCTGCGGACGCGGATTTCTTCAAGACGCTGAACACTGAATACGTCAAGTGTATGTCCGAAGGAACGTGGTCGCGCACTGTGATCATCAAGCTGACAGCCTTCCAGATGACAACTGCTACGCCGACGGGCCTGCAGCTAGCCAGAACGCTCCCAAGAACGCCAGAACCGATTTCGTCACCCGATTCGGTGTTATGTGGAAGGAGCTACAACGAGTCGGTATCCCAGGAATGTTAATCTGCCAATGGGGTGTTCCTTTCACGACCTCTACAGGTCTCCAGGGACCCGCTCAATGGACGAAGCCCATCTCGACATCCTTCCGACTATCGGACGACATTACATCAGGTTGGGCGTCCATGTTCCGCATCTACAACCAAGCTGTGCATATCGCCAAGTCCGGTCTAGTCGCTCCAGGACACATCGCCGATGCTGATCTGCTCATGGTCGGCAACTCTGGTATGACATTCGACGAGCAAGCTACGCACTTCGCCGCGTGGGCTATGCTGAAGTCCGCGCTCATGGTCTCGACCGACGTAGCGGCTCTGTCGAACGAACTCGTCGCTGTTCTGCAGAACAAAGACCTGATTGCGATCAACCAAGACTCCGCTGTCAAGCCGGTCACTCTCCGTCAGCGTTGGAGCGGGGACCGCGACCTCTGGGCTGGCGACCTTGCCAATGGAGACATGGCCGTCTTGGTCGTAGACCTCAGCAACACTGTGCGCACGCTGAGCCTGCAGCTCTCCGAACTCGACATCGCATCGGCATCTATCAAAGATCTCTGGACGGGTAAGACTGTCAGCGAGGCTTCCCTCTCCAAGCAGGTCAAAGCGCACGGATCTCTCGCCATCCGCCTCTCGAACATTCGCCGCTCGACAGCGGCCAAACCTACTTACAAGTACGTCTCTGCATCGACAGGCTCCCTCTCCTCGGGAGCATCCACCCAGTCCTGCTCCGGCTGCACCTCGTCCAACAAAGTCGGCAACCTGGGCGGCTCGTCAAACGGTCGCGTAACGCTCTCCAACATCCGCACCTCCAAAGCGACACAGACAGTGTACTTTGACTACATCAACGGCCAGGTCGACTACATGGGCGGCAGCAACGAGCGCGTCGCAGCGATTAGCGTGAACGGAGGTGCGGCAAAGACCGTCAGCTTCCCTCTGAGCGGATACAACTGGGACAAAGATGTATATAAGAACTACGGCGTCGAGTTGTCGGGTTTCAGCACCACGGGTACCAATACCATCACCATCTCTGGTGTTGGAAGTGCGTACGCGCCGGATGTTGACAGGATTGGTGTGATCGCGTAGTGTGCGACCGGCCTCAATTCGGCGCGTTTCTGTCTTTCCAGCCACGCTTGATTAGCCGGCTCAGCCACCTTTCTAGCGGTCTGGACATCTCCTTTGCGACGTACTACGGATGTTTATGAAGCACAATGAATGAACATCACTATATTTTCGGTCCGACGCCAAACCTCCGGCTGGGTATCATGTACATACGCACACAATCCGCTCTTCTGTAAGCGTTCTGTCAGCCAAGTTCACCGCATCATCGCATTGAATTTCTCCGTGTCGAAATCTCGTGCGCTAATCGAGTGGTTGTTTGAGCTCTCCCATGTGCCAAATCTTACGATGATTGATGCGATATCTGCGTATTCGGTGTTTCTCGCATCTAGGCTTACCTGGTAAAATGACTGACCGCGTTTCCAGCGCAGCGCAGCATAGCACAGTGCATCTGACGTATGCGCATCTCTTAGCAATTCAGCGCATGAGCAAATATTAAATATCTCGGCCCTACAATACGCAGGTACAATGATGAATACATAAAGATCTTCACATCCTCCGTTTTTTGCTTCATCACTCTAGATCTACAGTCGCACATCACCACTTCAAACTTCATTCTCCAACCTCAACAGATATCCCAAGATGCAACTCCAGTACCTCCTCCCTGCCGCGTTCTTTGCCGCCGCAACCATGGCCGCAAAGTTCAACGGCTTCTCCAATGTTGCCTGCCAGCAGTACGACGGCACCTACATCCCCATGACAGCAACCCAACTCCAAGATATCGTCGTCAAGAACTGGGCGACTACGCAAGAAATTCCCGAAGCATCGCGCTCCTTCACTGCGCCTGATGACAGGAAGCTCTGCCCTTCCAACTCGGATGATACGTACAAATGGGTGAGTAATATGATCATGTAGCTTGGCTTGGTGAAATGGTTGCTGACTAGTCTTGTTTTTGCGTTCTAGGTCTCGATCCCGCAGTGGGGGCAGGGTAGCAAGTGGCCCGCTGGTAATGGTGGTGCGCTGGCGGTGGTTTACTACAAGGAGACTGATACGTACAATGTTTGCCGTTATCTTGCTGCTGCTCAAGCGGATGGGTACAAGGGTGCATGCAAATAGGTTGTTAATGGGATAAATGCAGTGTTGACAGGAACAGTAGCATTAGCTATAGAATGTACTCTAGAATCGATGGTCCAGACGCGAATGAACTTGTTCCCTGGCTCTTATCACTGCCTTTCTTTGTCGCGTGCGATACTACTCTGGCTGAAGGATGTGAGAGTTGGAGAGGCATACGAGAAAGGTGTATGATGGGATGTACAGCTAGCTCTAGTAGACTAGACATCGGTGTGACTACGTCACGGGTATGTTGCAGATAACTTTGGATGGAGTTACAACAGGCGAGAACTTTGTTCCTCATCTCGAGTGTGGTCAATCAAGCAAGAATCGCTGTGGCTACTAAGCTTTCGCAGTAGTAGGCAATATCCATTGGTCTATATGACAAAGGGTATGTAATTCTGGCCAGTTAATCCAGATGGAGAGTACTCGAAGGTTTCCAACCCATCTGAAGACACCCACTTCCATGGGTGAGCTCCACATAGTAGCTGCTGAAGCTCGTACGTTGCGAAGAAGGCTGGGACTCCTCCGGCCGGCAGTGCTGTGCACTGGTATCCGAAGAAGCCATACCACTCGTCGTAAAACTGTTGTGGCGACCAGGCCTTCCTAACCGAGATCTCTCTTGTGGAAGCCCATAATGCACCGGTATCTCCATCAAAATGAATAAAGGATTCATCCAGAGTGATGCGGCGAACCATGGCATGGAAAGAAGGTGGGAGATCACATGGCAGCTGGAAGCGGTCTCTCATAGCGTAGTCGTGTAAAGTTTCGTCGTCATCAGGCTCGTAGCGGACCAGTCTGCGATCGATCTCATGGTGTTGCTTTATGTAGTCGGATTCTGCCAGGGCCTCTTGCAGACTGGCAGCGTGCTTTAGTACTTCCCATAACAAAGTTGACTCGGTCTTCTGGCCTTCGATCACTACCTTGAGGGCATTGGAGTTGACTCCGTTGGCGGAGAAGGATTCAAGTTCGTCCAGAAAATCGGCAAAGGGGCGCAACATATTCTCTTTGGGGATGACAGTTTGGCTCCGTCGATGATACTTTGTTGATTCTAACCATACTGGATGCATCAGGTTGTTCCAGAACCCTACTTGTAGTTCGACACGAAGATGTGGATTTTCCAGTAGGAAAGGCGTGAGCCCCCGCACGTGCGACTCTGGATATGCCACGCCCCTCTTGTCTTCTTTGATTATGATTGTCGTACGGTGAGATATGCGATCGGTTGGTGGTAGTGCTTTCAAAAAGTTGATAGCAATGGACGTTGCAGAAAAGTACCAGGCGACAGGCACCATTGGTTCAGAGCGCGGGTCGATCTCGCCGATAAGATCGCGACGCGACGGGTCCGCTAGATAGGACTCGAGGGTCAGATCAGACTCTGTAGGTATCAGCCACCAGTTTGGTTTCCATGCAAGGACAATGTTGTGGGACCCAGGCAGGAAGGGCGGCATCATGCCATGGCACATGTAGGGACTGGAAGATGCCCTGGCAGCTGCATCCTCGAATGCAGGATGAGAGGAGGCTAGATCGAGGGTGTATTGTATGGCGTCGCACAAAGTCGCCGACGTCTGCCATCGCCAGGTATGGTCCGAACGCGAAACCGAGTTCTGCGCGTACAAGTCTCGCCCATGCTTGATAGCGCTGTATACGGCGCGATAGTAACGAGATATGCCGGGAAACTGCGCAGCAACCCGATCTACAATGGTTGGGGTGACGCACCCGTCTTGAGCAACGTGATGTAGTATGTGCATCTTCATACGCCGTGACAGCTGTAGCAGGCGTTCGAAGCGGCCGGCTTTGGAGTCAAGATTGTTGAATTCGACGCCGTCTCGGTGCGAGCGTGCAGGAAGGAAGGTTAGAGTGTTAGCTCGCTTGGCCACACCCTTCATCTCCTCGGCTGCTTGCTTGCAACAGCGTGTCAGCGCGTTCTTGTCCTGATGTTTGTTCTGGCTCTCATACCGCATCTTGTTTGAGGCATAGTCGTAAAAAAGGCCCTTCTCGTCATGCGCATAGTGTTCGTATATGTTGTCGCGCAGCTCGCGAGGTAGGCGGAAGAGAGGGGATTGTTGCTGATCCATCATCGTGAGAAGTACGATTGCGTTACTCCCAAAAAGTAATGGCAGGATGGTATCAGTGAGGGTAGATATGGAAATGCGACGATGAGAAACGATGGTTTATGTGCGTTCGGGACATCTGTGGATCCCGAGGTCGCCAGGCATCAGCGGGTCACGTGACGACCCAACTTTGGTTCGGTAACACCAACCTTAGAATCGCTCGGTACTACCAATGTACAGTCGTGAAGTGGCAAGCTCTGAGATTCTCAATCAATGTGTAGCCGAAACTGCGACATTGTTCTAATACAGCATACCCCTGGGGCCATGTGAGCAGCGATGAACACAACCGACGTACATCAGTTTTCACGACAACTCGTGTGGGGTAGTAAACTGCATAGCATACACGCCTCTTACTTGATCAAACGAAGATGCGATACGCTGGTATCACATATGAATCTGCCAGCGACGAGCAACCACTTACGATGAGTTGGATAGACGACGGCGTGTGAGTGTGTACCTACCTAGGTAGGTATATTCCCACGCACGTGCCATCGAGGTGCCGTGTGGGATGGGTCCCGAGGTCCTACCGAGAGCCATGGCCTCTCCAGAATGCGCCCCCATCATCGAACATTCTCGCATTCCTTGTGGTTTCGGAAGCACCAGATGAAGACGCACGGTCTCTTGTCGGTCATGGTTCTTTGTCGATCATTGCCCTTTTCCTACGCGTTGCTCGGTGCTATCGCAAAATGAAGTCTCCTGCGTCAAAGCTTGGCATCGCTGCTGAGACAACGGTGGAAGCACCTGACCCGCCCTCATACCTGCGACGGTATAAATCAGATAGACAGACACAGATCTCTGTTGCTGGTTAGACTCGCAGAAGTGAATTTGAGCATCCGCCAGAGATCATACCTACCCATTCTTAATCTTCTCCTATTTTCGAAACTTTCTCCATGCTTCTCCGCAATGACAAGTCTTACAACGGCATATTCGACCCGCTCCAGAGCCTAACGACTACGGCATGTACCAGCCAGTATTCCGGCAACCCCTCTCCGCTCGCTCGTCTACCACGCGAATTACGCGACCAGATCTACGAGTATGCCCTGGGTGCGGACATGATGCGCATATTGAGTTTCGGCGAGACGAAGATCATAATGCTGCCAATCTACGCACCGGGTCGCGTGTACTGTGATCAGGAAGACGGTCTTCCGATGTGGATGCTATCTAGCAAGACGATTCTGTCTGAAGCACTCGAAGTCTTCCACCGAACGCAGTGCTTTGAGCACATCGACCTTGCGCCATACGCCCAATGGAAACTTTCGCCCACCCGGAGGAACCCCCTGGTACTCAACCAAAATATACGTCACGTAAAACTCAACGAGCCACTCGAAGTGGTCGGAAATTCCTTTCCATTACCAAGTTCCTGGCATCCCGGATATAACGATACGTTTCTGAAGTGTCTTGCGTTATGGAATCCGCCGGAACTGGACGTACGCTGTGAGGTATTCTCTAATAATCCGGAAGGACCTCGCATGGATCCAAGCCAGGTACCAAAGTGGCACAGTAAGGTCCCTGTGCGGAACCCCGATGTACGTGATCGGTTCAAACAGCTTCGCGGACGGTGCAGAAGCATGTCAGTGGAAATCAAAGTCCCTCACGGTTTTCAGGAGAACGGAAAGCTTTTGGATAACGCACGAGCTTGGGCTGAGCCTAAGCTCGAGCACAAGAGACAATATTTCGCCGACTTATGTCAGTCGATTGAGGCATGGGCGAGGGAATTGGTTGGCGGAAGCACGCGCTTCTTACTGAAGAACGAGAATGACGGAAGGAGCAATTGGAAGAATGGAACTCCTCCGGGAAAGTACTTTAGGGCCATATGCGAGGCGCAAAGACTCGGCTAAACATGTCGCATAGGAGCACTGAACAACATTGGCAATTGGTACTGGCCTTGCAATAGTCATCAACATCAATACAGTAAATTTGAGCTCCTTCTAATAGTCTCAGTCTTTTCCACTTCATACCATTACAGACATACGCGCGTACGGCCGCATCTCTCCTGTGGTGTCTCTTACCAGATATTCCTAGCTTTGGAAGAATTTAAGCCCTGGCTCCAAATTGAACAACCTACATGCACCGCGTAGTTCTCATCGGTGGTCTCCTTGGAAGGACCGTAGAGCTAAGAATGTATAGGTATACCATGAGCAGCAGAGTCCAGTAACTTCCCTCTACCACCATCACTGTCCACAGAAAGCGCAATAACACCTCCTCTTCCATAACTACCCTCACTTCCCCCTCCGCAACCCCCTCAAAGTCCCCGCAAACCTCCTCCGCGTCACATACACAAACCACATAAACACCACCGCAAACACCACGCTCCCCGCCCCCGTCCTCTGATTCATCCCCGCCTGCTTCTTCGCCTCCTCATAATACCCCTTCACCTTCTCCGTGACGCCATCATCCCTCTCCAAATCAGGCATAGCCATAATCTTGACCACCAACGCCGACCAGCCCGTGAAGTGCTGGGTACGTTGTCCAGCGCCTTTGACAGGGTCGTATTGTTCCCAGATATAGCCTGTTTGGAGGTACGAATTGAACACGGTGTGCACGATGTTGCTGCGGAGTTCGATGTAGATTTCGCGGCAGCGTTGTTGTGAGGGGCCGGGGATTTGGGCGAGGTCGAGGAGGTTGGTGAGGAGGAGGTAGTTTATGTTTATCCAGATGGGCGAGCGCCAGTAGTTGTCGTCTTTTCCGTATGCGTCGTCTTCGGGGCTGAGGCTACGGACGCCAAAGTCGGTCCAGAGGTGGTTGGGGTCGCGGAGGAGGGTTAGCATGGCGGGGAGATGTGGGTGGGAGGGGTCGGTGAAGCCGGTGAGGAGAGGGAAGATGGAGATGTAGCCTTTGTGGCAGGCGTGCGTGTGTAGGTCGTTGCGGACTACGGCGTCGCAGTAGGTGTTTGGTTCTTTTGACCAGTGTATCGTGTCGATGTTGGTCTTGATGCCGCGGATGTGGTTTTGGTATGTGAGCGCGTCGTGGGCGTTTTCGGTGAAGAAGGCGATGCGTTCTAGTGTTCGTGCCATTACGCCGACCCAGCACAAGGCGTCCAAATGCAACTCGGTGATGTCGGGAGGTTCCGCTCGAGGGTAATCGTCCATTCCGCTGGCGAAATTCGTGCCTGGAGTCCGGCCACGCCATCGGTAGCCCTCATTCAGATTGGCCGATGGAATCGAATGGGCCTCAACATCTCCAGATTGCGACTTCCGGAACCAATCGTAGTGCTTCTTGAGGTACGGATACATCTTCGTCACCAAAGCTTTCCCCGTCTCTGCTTTGGCAAGGTACAGGGATTCGTGACCATGATACTTGGTCGTCCCTTTCAGCATATCGATGAACTTTGAGATGACCAGAAACATCGTTGGTGGATTCGCAATGTGCGGGAATTGGGTGACGAATTCAGCAGGCGTGGCACCCTCGGCTTCCGCGCCTAGAATCTGCTCTCTTGCTATCCAGCCATCATCATCCATGAGGTTTAAGAGCCAGTCGCGAATCACCTCGAGAGCGAGATCAGCATCCCACTCGACGACAAGGAGAAGATGAAAGCCCTCATCCCATAGGAAGCCCCTTGGAAAGGCTGCACGAGATGGCGTATGAGTGAGGAGCTCATACGGGCCTTTCGTCTCCGGTGTTGTATGCTTCTTTGCGTCGACTGACTTCTGCCAGAAGTTTGCAGTGGTCTCAGCGTATATGGCCTTCTTCGACGTGTCGACCTTGGCAGTGCCGGTAAAGTAGCCTAGTCCACCTAGCAGATTGGAGAAAGTATTCCGAGAGAAGGCGCGGTGCATGACGGTGGTGAAGGGGGTTTTCGGGGTGAACACTGCGTCGAAGTTCTTGGCGAAGGATGCGAGGGTTTCCTCTAGACTGGTGGTAAGACCGGCGGCTGGAAGGCATTAGCATGTCTAGTTTATGGGGGCGCTTGTCCGTATAACATGGCGGAGGTGGGTACTCACAGGTCATGGCTCGCTTCGCAGTATCACTCGAGTACAGGATGTCGAACTGCTTGAGGTTAGTCGAAGTATAAACACATGATCGTGGTGCTGACCTCGAATTCCCCGTGGCACACCAGCTGCACTAGCTGCAAATTGCCATTGCCCGGAGCGTTGCGCAGTACGATATCATTTGGTCCTGGCTCGGTGCGGTCTTTCGTTTGGTCTTTCAGCGACTCCAAGAAGGTGGCTTCTTGCATATGCTCATCAGCTGGTTGTTCATGACACGATGGGGAGATTCGAAGCACAGGTAGATGGGATTGAAGAAATCATGGCATTCATCGTACTTACATTTGCCCTGCCACAGCCTATCTTCCGTAACGTTCAGCGTCTTGATATACGCTATTTCACGTTTCTCATCTGCATTGATGGGTACAGGGATATGAATACCCGCATTACCCAACTTCGGATGCGCAATATTCATATTCACAGCTTGAACCGTCTTCTCGTCGGCCTCAAACTGTTGACGCGCTTCGAGCTTGCAGTCGGCACAGGCTTCCATGGCCTCCATGCCAATGTAGAAGACCACGGTAGTCTTGAGGTCTTTGGGTGCATCAGGCCTAGGCATGCCCTTGATGCGCAAACCCCAATTCCCCTGGCTCTGGCCTTCAGAGTGCTTTATGAACTCGGTTATGAGGTTTATCTTGTTTCCGACGTCTTCTATCATTTGTCGGCCGCCTTCTCGTGTATCGTATGAGATCCAACCGTATTTGGCCATGCCGTCGCTCTGGTTCACGTCATGTCGGAGTGCTATAGAACTAGTTAGCGCTGTACGCATATCCTCAAAGTGTCTGCTTACTCGTCTCTACATCTTCCAGCTTTCCCCACATGACGCCCGCAATGAGACTTTTGGGCATGCGGGCGCGCAGCCCCAGATACAGATTCGGACGATAAGGGCCCCATAGCAGCGATTCGTTGCTAGTCGGTACCTTGTGGTCGGCGGCGGACACGTGTGGGAGGAGCGTGAAGAGGAGCGCGAGGAGGGCTGGCGGGAGCATAATGACGTCGAACGGGTACGACGCGTTTCACGACGCGTTTGACCAATTGCTCTCAAGCTCTTCGGGACGACTGCGGTGGCGCGAGGCTTCGGGGCATATCTCTGCTACGTTGACTTAGCTCTTAGCTCTTAGCTGACAGCGACAGCAATGCGCCGGCTATATCGGACATATTTGCCCAGGCAGAGCGGCCTTGGTTCCTGCTGCGTTGTGATTGGATGACGCGTGACGCCATGGCCAAAAGAACTCTACTTCCATCTTCAATCAGTCGCACGCGATAAGAATCACAATTCGCTTTACTCATCGTTCGAAAGATCTACAGCTGTATTCGCCTGCGATGGGGTTTGGGTCAGTTACAGCGACTGGTCGTCCGTATGTTACTACGAATGCAGTCATTCGGTGCCCGTCATGCCACAGAAACTTCAACCTTTCCAGGATGCATTTCGAAGCATACCTGGGTAGTACACATTACACAGAATAACACCTACTCTTGACGCCAAAACATGATACAGGGCTGAAAGCATAACAAGGATGCCAGCTATTCCAACCCGCCAACCTCCCGCGCGACGTCAGCGGTCCACTCACGCCGCCGAGCCCCCACAATCTGCAAATGCGGATGAGCGAACTAAAAGCCAGCCATCCCGCCTTGGATGCTGGCGATCCCGATCGACTCCAGGATAGCAAGATATAAAGACTTTTACGCGATTTCTGACACAGAACAAATTTCGAGCCATTTCAAGATTACATCAACATGGAAGAACAAGTAGAGCGCCTAGTGAACAAGGTCTGGGGTATGTGATATTATAAGTTGGAAATAAGATACACGTACTGACGAGACCGCAGACCAATATCAAGATGTCCCTGCATCAAAGCGCTTGCTAATCGCCGTATCCGGTATCCCAGGGTCCGGTACAGTACACGCACGAACCTCAACCCTCCAACCCGCTGACCACGACCAGGCAAAACAACACTAGCAGCCATCGTCTCAACCAAACTCAACGAGAAACATGCACAGCAATCCCCTGGTACCGCTAATAGCAACCCACTCTCAGCCTTCATACCAATGGACGGCTTCCACCTCTCGCGCCAACAACTCGATGCAATGCCCGATCCCGACAGCGCCCACGCGAGAAGAGGCGCGGCATTCACATTCGACGGCGACTCCTTCCACAGCCTCGTGAAAAAGCTACGCGACCCCATATGTCCAGAGACCTCAACACTCTACGCCCCCAGTTTCGACCACGCGCTCAAAGACCCCGTCGAAAACGACATCGCCATCGCGCCATCCGTCCGCATCGTGATTTTCGAAGGCAACTATTGTTCTTTGAACAAGGCGCCTTGGAACGAAGCTGCGCAGCTCATGGATGAGCTTTGGTTCGTGGATGTGGACTTTGATGTTGCGAGGAAGAGGCTGGTGCATCGCCATGTTAAGGCGGGGATTGCGGGGAATGAGGAGGAGGCGGGGAAGAGGGCGGATGAAAATGATCTTGTTAATGGGAGGGAGATTGTGGATTCGAGGCTTGAGGTGCATGAGTTGGTTAGGAGTGTGGAGGATGGCGGGTGGGCGCCTGAACAGCAGGGGGTGGGGGATGGGGCGGATGAGGGGAGTAAAGGGGGGATGGCGGGACGGGTATGATGATGTGTTTGCTGATATCTAGTATTGGCAGTGGGTTACCTAGCTTTCTTCGCTGTTCTCGGCCCCTAAGTCTAGACGCTGCACTACCGCGCATTCATAATTTCTGCGTGGAAACCCTGATAGTCCTCAAGACTGTTTCCTTTTCATAGTAGGACGTGTCTCTCGTATCATCGCATTCGTGCACCTCCGCATCACTACCAACGATACCCTTCGCCCACACTTCCACCGTC